GCAGGAGGGCAGAGAGGAGGAGGGCTGGGGGCAGGAGGGCTGGGGGGGGAGTCTGCCCTTCCCACACCCCTGGCCCCGTGCTCAGGCCACACTGCCCTTGCGAATCCAGCACAGTTCTGAGGGAGCTGAGTCCTGGATTAATGAGGCCCATTCATGAGGGCACGTTTCAGAAGTGGGTTAGTCTGACTTGTTCACACGTGGACTTGGAGTCAGGAGCAGTGTTTCAGTCCCAACGTTGTCCCTCACCAGGTGCCTAAGTCACTTCTCTTTGCACCTCGGTGTTTTCACCTGTCCCCCTGACCTGCCGCCGGGGGAATCTGGGCATATACCCACCGTGAACTGGAAAGTCCCATCTTAAATAGCAACTCGCAGCCCCAGCCGAAGGGCAGGTGGCAGGGCGGCTGCCCGAGCTGCATCCTCGGGTTCACATACCCCTTCTCCTGCTCCCCGGCCCAGGTTTCAAGGAGACGGCCTTCCTGTACGCGGTGTCCTCGGCTGCCCTCACCCACACTCTGGCCCGGGCCTGCAGCGCCGGGCGCATGGAGCGCTGCACCTGCGACGACTCTCCAGGCCTGGAGAGCAGGCAGGCCTGGCAGTGGGGCGTGTGCGGCGACAACCTCAAGTACAGCACCAAGTTCCTGAGCAACTTCCTGGGGCCCAAGAGAGGAAGCAAAGACCTGCGGGCACGGGCAGACGCCCACAACACCAACGTGGGCATCAAGGTGAGCAGCTTCCTGGTGGCCCTGAGCCTTCCAGCCAGAGCGCGAGGTCCGCAGGAGGTCCTCCCCCATCTGCCCCCAGCACACATTCAGGCTGGGCACCTCTTTCCTTCAGCCAACATCCCTTGGGCATCAACTTTGGCCCGTGACCGGGAAACAGGGAAGGGTCCTGGGGGTCACAGCGCTGGGCCAGGGGTGGGAGCCAGGGTTGGGACAGGCCATGGTGAGGCAGGAGCATGTTTGGAAAAGGCTCTCCATTCCAAGGACCAGCCTTCCTGGAGGTCTTAGCAGCCAACAGAGTTAGAAACAAGTGAGAAAGCTTTGATCTGGTGCAACCCCCACGCCTCCTCCAATTTTACACACGGGAAGAGGAGGAGGCCCAGACGAGGGAAGGAACTTGGCTGAGGTCACATAGCGGGAGGAGTAGAGGGTAAAGTGTCTCATCTATTTGTGCTGGGAAGGCTGGGAGAGGCGGGGCTCCAACGCTTTAGGAAACCGAGTTCTGCGCCCTCATCACTGAGTTGTGCGACCCACGGCTGCTGTATTCAGTTGCGCACGCCGTCCATGCCACAAGGACTCTGGCCCGGGGAAGGGGCTGCGGCTGAGGTCCAGCCACACTGCTCTCACCACGGCGTGCATGTTGGCACAGGACACTTCTGCCCAGGGGAAGAGGAGCCTCGGGCCGGTTTGCACACAGATGCCACCTGGCTAACGTTCCCATCTTCCTGCCACTCCCCTGCTGGCGTTGGCGGCCCGGGCCCCTGACCCCGCCTCCATTCTGCCTCTCCTCACAGGCCGTGAAGAGTGGCCTCAGGACCACATGTAAGTGCCACGGCGTGTCGGGCTCCTGTGCCGTGCGCACCTGCTGGAAGCAGCTCTCCCCGTTCCGAGAGACGGGCCAGGTGCTGAAGCTGCGCTACGACTCAGCGGTCAAGGTGTCCAGTGCCACCAACGAGGCCTTGGGCCGCCTGGAGCTGTGGGCACCCGCCAGGCTGGACAGTGCCACCAAGGGCCTGGCCCCCCGGCCCGGGGACCTGGTCTACATGGAGGACTCACCCAGCTTCTGCCGGCCCAGCAAGTACTCCCCTGGCACGGCAGGCCGAGTGTGCTCCCGGGAAGCCAGCTGCAGCAGCCTGTGCTGCGGGCGGGGCTATGACACCCAGAGCCGCCTGGTGGCCTTCTCCTGCCACTGCCAGGTGCAGTGGTGCTGCTACGTGGAGTGCCAGCAGTGCGTGCAGGAGGAGCTCGTGTACACCTGTAAGCACTAGGTCTGTTGCCCAGTGTGCCAGCCGGGCACTGCCAGGACCTCCCTCAGTGCCCAGCACCCAGCTGCCCAGCTGGCCCCTCGGGGCAGATACTCCTGCATGCATGCGCTCATCGACGTGCGTGCCAGGCACACATGCTCCTCTCACCATTGCGCCTGGCAGCCTCCCCCTTCCTCAACACTCAGCCGTGAGAGGCGCGGGCTCCACCCTGAACCCCGGGGTCCCCCGTCTTTTTTGAGGACTTGGAGCAGGAAGGCGGAGTGGGAAAGATGTGGAAGGAAACGAGAGAGACCAGGAGGAGGGCAGGCCCGAGGTGTCAGAGGGGACGGAAGAAATCTCCCGCCGTCTCCGTTCCTAGGATAAGTGGCCTAGAGCCGGGAAGATGCAGGGAGTTGAGCTTCTGCGTGAAGAAGGCACAGGGAGGCAGTGCCAGCTGGAAGCCAAGGCTGGAGCCTGGCTGGGATGGGCCAGTCCCTCCCGTGGGCCCTGCCCAGGTCTCAGCGAACCCAGGGACCACAAACCATCATTGCCTAGAGAGGAGGGACAAGGCAGGGGATGGGAGCTGTCGGTTTGGAGAAAGCTTTCTGGGCTTGCGTGGACCAAGTCAGATACTGCGTCCTTGATTATGTTTTTAAAATCTGCCTGTGCTGAGGCCTCTTTCTTGTCTTGAGAGCTGTTACCTGCACCCACCCAGCCCTGCTCAGCAAGAGCACCAGTGGGTGCAAGGCCCAGAGGGAGCGCTGTCCCCGGGGGGGGATCTGATAGTGCATCGAGGCTGCACAGGGAGACAGTGGGCCCTCCCAGTTTTCTCTGGGACACAGACCCTTTAGTCCCAGCCCAGGAGAGGGTGACAGCCCCCTGGTGCCAGGCAGGGATGTGGTGCCAGGCAAGCTCAGTGTCTCGGCTTCCCCTTGAGCTGGCTTTGGTCCCCATGGCTGGGGTCCCCCTGTGCTGTGAGGCCCCAACACAGTTGACATTTGTGACACAGAAGAGTTGGCTTATGCGTCCTGATTCTGGTTACATTTCTACTCTGGCGGCTACTCATCTACTTAAGGTTTTTGCCCTGGGGAGGGATAGGGACATGAAAGTCTTTGCTAAGCC